AAATAACATCATACCTAACCACCACAGTAACCATAAATAAATAAATTAAGCTAAACACTAGTGTAGAATACAGTGCAGTCAAGTCAGATCAGGTATTAGCAGCAGTAATAAAAGCAGCAGATGGTATAGTGCAGAGCACAAGGCAGTTTCTTATGTGATACTAGTGCAAATGGCAATAGTGCAAAAGGCAAATAGTGCAAGGCACAAAGCAGTCATTTTTTGGGGGATCAGGGGCATCTGAGTCCAAGTGGTCTTTGGGGAGGTTCTGTTCCTGGGAGGCGCAGATTTCTCGCTTCCTGGCAGAAGGAAGAGAAGTCGGCATCCTCACAGCCCAGTGGATGAAGCTGTTGGTGAGTTTAGTGGTGTGGGAACGAAGGTTCCTGTACCTCCTTCCAGTGAGCAGGAGGCTGAACACTTACATTAGTCACACAGCTAAGCCTCCCATTATGAGATTTTCTACTATTAATACCATTACCACTACTAGGCCACAAACTAGTCCATCAGCTTTTCTTATGGCTCGAGATGTACTTTACTTTCAATTTACTCTCCATCAAGGCCTCATCGAAAACACATATGAAGTTGTGTTTAGTTTCATTCACACATACTCAATAATCCTATATTAGTAGAAGGTCTGCATCTCCAAAGCTCAAAATGCTCTGTTCCACCTTGGAATAGTAGTGTGTACTTTTCAAGTTAACAAATTCTTTTTACCTTTAGTTCTGTAGAGATTAGCAATTTCAGGGCTGAAATCATCCAAATGAGAACAGTGAAAGTGTACAAAGTTTAAAAACACAATGGAGCATTTCTTGTATTACCACATGATATCACAATGTGAAACAGAGTGTTTTCTGTTTGAGAGAAGAACTCAGCCTACATATGCAGGGTTTGTGTGTTATATGGGTGAATGCAACAAAACACAGCTTCAGGTATGTTTGTGATGAGGAAACAACATTATAACATAGATCAGAAAACAGTGTGATATGGGCCCTTTAAGCATAATAGTTTGTGTGTGTTTTTCTGCCCTGAATATATAAGGCAGAGTTCATTAACAGAGAGTAGAGTTGCAGTTGGATGTGTCTGGTCTTGACTGTCTCTTCTACCTCCATCCTAGTAGGTCAGGTTGCAAACTACAAGACTTGCCACAACTTGACACATAAAGGCGACCAACACCTTTTAAGTAAAGAGTTTTGCCTATAGAGACAGGTGCAAAGGATGTGGTAGAGATGACAAAAAAAGTTACTCACAACATAGATATGTGAAATAACACCATAAAACAAACCCTTATGTATTTTATTAACATCATTATTAACAAGGCAAAAAATCATACAAAATATGTATTGAAAAAATGTATAGTAAGATTTCCTCATCAAAAACATACCCGAAGTTGTGTTCTGTTTCATTCACACATGTATAACACACAAAGCCTGCATATTTAGGCTGAGTTCTTCTCTCAAGCAAAAAACACTCTGTTCCACCTTGTGATGTCATGTGGCAATACAGGAAGTGCTCCATTATGTTTTGTCACTAGAATCATTTGTATAATTTTAGCTCTGGAATTTCCCATCTCTACTAAACAAAACGTAAAAGATAGCTGTGGAAAACTACCACTTCATGACATCACAAGATGGAACAAAGCATTTTGAGCTTTGGAGATGTAGACAAAATAAAACAAAACACAACTCTAGGTATGTTTTTGTGGAGGTAAGAACATTCTAACATGGCTTAAAGCTCATAAGAGTCAATTGTGGGTAATATAGGACTTTTAAAAGAGACAGCAGATAGTTGGAAAAGCCTAAATGTACAGTATTAATTTCATAAAATAGCATACATGTAGGTACAGCAATATAGCCACCAAAAATTACCCTATGTTCAAAATGCAAGTATTTCCACAGTTTAAAAATTGTATTCAATTCCACATGTCCTTTTCACATCAATAACAGCCTAGACTTATCTGATTGTCCAGCCCTTACAAAGCATTTAATCACTTACTTCACTTATTTGTGACCCTGTGTGCTTACTTTAATCAAAAAGTTGCTCAACAAAAAGAAATCCACCCATTTGAAACCCACTTATGTTGACCAGAGAGTCTCCCACTTATGCAAAACATCAACATATTAGTCCACTGAATACATTTTAGAGCGAGCCATGCATGCGTTTTATCATGTTGACGCAAAGCAACAAATATATGTAAATACAGTTTGATGATGGAATATCAGACCTTCCACCAAGGACAAAAGACACATCTCAGTAAACAAGCGCTGGACCACCAAAGACCGTCCCTTCATGCATATCAAATCAGACACTTTGAATTGTGTGTCTTTGGTGTAGGGACTGAGGGCCTCCAGTCTGGATTCAGAGTATTTGATTTATTCGCAGGTGCAACACAGCGCTTTGATGTGTGGAGTTGAGAGCTTTTGCACCTGTTAGAGAGGAAGAAAAAAAAAAAAACCTTTGAAAACAAGAGGTGGATTTGCCAGATAGTCAGAATAAGAGCAACAAG